AAAGGTATTTTGTTATGGTTTGAACAGTTGTCTGGTATGAGAGTAAATTTTCATAAAAGTGAGGTTATTACTATGAACATGTCTGGTGAGTCAGCTCATGATATATCTTATCTCTTATCTCTTTGCTTGCCCTATTGGGAATTTCCGAATTAAGTACGTAGGTGTTCCCCTACATTACGAGAATCTGAGTAGAGATGATATCCAACCTTTAGTTGATAAAATGCTTAAACAGATAGCTGGTTGGAGGGGGAAGCTCTTATCATATGCTGCGAAGGTAGTTCTGATTAGAGCTTGCTTGACTAGTATTCCCATCTATTTGATGTCTTTTATTAAGTTCCCCAAATGGGCAATAAAGATTCTTAATACTCACCTAGCTAACTGCCTTTGGAATGACAATGCCGGAGGGCATAAAATTCATTTAGTCAATTGAGAGTCTGTAGCTATGTTAAAGGACTATGGTGGTTTAGGAATCCCAAACATGAGAGATTTGAACATTTGTTTGCTAGCGTCATAGATTAAGAGGTATAATGTAGATAATCACAAGTTGTGGAAACAATTCATTGATCATAAATATGACACAGAAAAACCAAATCTGTTCTATACTCCCACTAGGGGTGCGTCCCAATTTTTCAAAGGAGTCATGTGGGCTGCTTCTGCAGCCAAATTAGGTTTTAGATGGAAGGTTGGGAATGGAAGGAAGGTTAAGTTTTGGGCAGATACCTGGTTGGGACATTCTAGCCTAGCGGTACAGTTCTGGGATGTAAGATTGGAGAAGCTCAAAAGCTTTGCTTTCAGACCGCCAAGGATTGCTGGCTGAGCCAAGTGGACGACAAATGGGACTACTTCATGTTCAAACAAGCGCACAACTGGGAAGACCTTAAAACTCCTGAAGAAGTGAAGATGAAACTCGCTGGGAATCACATGGCCAAAGAACGCAGGCGGAAGATCTTGGTTCAGTCTGCTGAGCTTGGGTGATGGGAGTGAGTTTGATGCATGTTAGTATAAAAGGAAAATGGTGAGGCGTCTAGCTACTGTCTTTGTTTTTCGTTTATGTTAAGGTCTGTGAGCTGAATTGTATGGAGGGGTGCGTTTCACCCGAATGCTGTAAACTCTATGGTTGTCTTTGCTAATGCTAAGACAGGGGCATCGCCCTAGAATTCTAAAAAAGAGGATTTATCTTTTTTTTTCTAGCATGTTTCATAAGGATTAAGGTGAGGTTCTGTTGAAAAGCATCAATTAGTATAATAAGATAATGTCCTGTAATATAACATATTTTAGGAATTTTAAGAGAAAACATAAAAGAAGTATGCACTATCATTTTTTTTCCTAATCAGACGTTGTCATCAACGTGATTAATGATGATTGGTGGATAAATAAAAAGTATTTATGTAAAATTGTTTTTTATCCTCTAGAATGCATTATATTTGAGAAAAATTTTGAATGTTAGAATGCACTATATTATATGACGGAGGGAGTAATTAAGATGGATGTGGAGATGTGAAGATTGGGACAGTTTAAGGTAAGATCACGCTCTAATGAAAAAGACCCTAATTAATAATAGTAAGATTAATTATAATAGTAAGATAAGATGGTTGCTTGGTGCGGATATGGAGACAGAGGCAGGTTGCCGGTAGGATCTATCTCTGATAGTATATGTAGTACAGAAGAAAGGATGTAATGTAAAGTAGGGGCCGACGGAGTGGGTGTATGTGTGCTGTGTGCATGCATGCATGTGAGAACCCCGTCAGCAATCGAAAGGCAGGACGCAGCAAGCACTCTTGGCGCTCTACTTGAGGCTGAGACTTATCCATAATTCATAGGAAAACTAGCCTTTGGATTCCACTTATATGATGGTGCAATCTAAAGTTAGTCCGAATGATGGATGGGCGGATGAACATCCGTGGCTAGCGGCGCGCCGTCACCTGAGTGGACGCAACGCAAACAAGGGCGGATCGGCAGCTGATGATTTGGCGTGCGTGCTATTGGCCTGTTGCTGCTTTGCTAGCTCGGAATGGTTTCGGTCTGGAGCAGAAGCTAAAAGCAGAGCGGGAGGGCGATGTGTATGTAACTCGTGAGACGGGGAAACGAAGTTTGGTTGGAAGAGAGGAAAGGAAGCTGATGCGCGGATGGCCACCTGCTCGGAACGACCGCCGCGCCTGCGGTGGCCGGCCGGCCGGCCGACCGAACTCCCTCCCTATTCTTTGGTTGGACCACATGCACATGTTGGACCGGGGATGATGGGCGGGATGGCGATGTGGTCAGTTTTTCTCCGTCTCTGGTGTGCTTTCAGCTCGGAGTTGTACCAATACGAACCGTCTTTCTTTGGAGCAGTTTGTGCCGCGTGCGTGCGTGTAATCGTCGACTTTAGCTCGGGGAGCTTCCGTTAGCTATCAGCCAGTTCTTGCTTCCCACTTAGGCCCCGTTCGTTTCTCCGGGAACGAAGCAAGGAAGAATTCCGGCCGGACTCGTTAACTTTATGTCCCGTTCGTTTACCGGGGAATGGAGGCCTGGAACAGCCAAACGAACGAGGCCTTAATTTATATAGCTTCCACTAGCCGGATGGATTCCTCGCAACTAACCGAAGAGTCCTTAACCTATATGCAATACTCCGCCAATGCCGTTTTCGTTTTCGTTGGCCGCTGCACCCACCGCCTCGCCTCATCTCCGCATCCCACTCCTTGTATTGTATCTGTAGCGTCGGTTAGCGCGCGTCACCAACGTCCTAATCGCGCGCTCGATCCTGCTCTGCTCATTTGCCTGCACTTGGCGCTGCTGTGCTTTTATAAAGCCAGGGCCTCAGCTTCCAAGCTTCCCTCCCCGGCCCCTAGTGCTAGTACCCACACGCCCTGCTCCTCTCCGCTGTTGCCACCTGCCCGCTTCATCAGATTTCGGGGAGTTCCAGATTAATAAGCAATTCCGATCGAGGCAGGGCTAGGCTTTCGTTTCGTCCGGCAGAAGCAAGCTAAAGGAAGGCGATCGGATCGGAGCCCATCGGGAAACGGGAGCTTCAGCCCGAGGTACGCCCATGGCTTCCCCCATTTCTTGCGATCCTCATCGCCTGCCTGCTATTTGCTTTCCATCTTCTCTTTTTCTTTTTTTTTTCCCCGCGATCCTCATTTGCCTTCCTGCTATTTTTTTTCAGCCAAAAGCAGTGCTTTCCTTCTGATCTTCAACCGAACTTTCCTTTTTATTTCTCGTCTGTCTGATGCCCTCCTCCTCTTCTCTAGACTCAAGGGGGTTTTTTTTTTGATGGAGGAAGTGCAATTTTTCTAGCTTTTGGCGAAGTCTACAACAGTACATCACTATGGATAATATCTCAAATTGTCAATTAATTTGTTTTCCAAGTTCATGTTTTTGTACTTATGGATGTTAATATTTTTTATCCAGAAATTTGATCATAGTTAGAGAAGTTTGACCTAGGTTAATTCTCAAATGAACTATAATTTAAGACGGAGAAAATATAAAAGTTCACTGGATACATACATAAGTCAAATGACACTGTTTTATTTGGTTGCTATAGGCCATCAAAATGTAAATATTACTCCGTAAATGTTGATGTTATTTTCTAGGAAATTGGCCACTTAATTATTTTTTGGCTTGATCCAAATCTATAATTGCATTTTTCTTGGATAGAGGAAGTAGAACTTTTCGAACTTTTCAAAGAGTCTACAAAAGTACATCACTATGGATAATATCAAATTCTCTATTAAATATGTTTTCCATGTTCATGTATTTGAACTTGTAGATGTTAATATTTTTTCAAAAGAATTAAAGAAGTTTGACCAAAGTTAATTCTCAAATAAATTATAATTTGAGACAGAGAAAGTATAAAATTTCATAGGACACATACATAAGTCAAATGACTGCTTTTATGTGGTTGCCATCAGAACGTAAATATTTACCCTTTTCGCTTGGCTGATAAGCCATGGCTGAAAGTATTATTGGCTGATTTGTTGTGAGAGAAAAATATTGTTCTTTAGCTGAAAAAGTACGGCTTATAAGCCAAGCGAACAAATTACTCCTTAAGTTCCAAGGTACATGCAATTTTTAATTTTGTTTTAGGTCAGACTCTTCTAATTTGATCAAATTTTTAGAAAAATATATTAATATCTGCAATACCAGATAAATACACTATTAGTACATGTTTCATGTTAAATTCAACAAAACTCATTTCATGCTATAGCAGATATTGATGTATTCTCTTATATTTACTTGGTTATTAAATGTTGAGACAAAATTAAAATATTGTATATTATTCTTCAACAGAGGAGTATATATTTTCAGTTACATCTCTGCATTAAACTCTGAAACCGTCGAGCTGATAATTTCAGTTATCGGCGGAATCGCTACACAAGGCCTTCGATTGCACATCTTGGGGTGTGAGGATGTTGCAGAACCGGTGGAAGGGATGCATCTTCTTCTCCTTCGCCTTCCTTCTCTGCAACGCATCAGGTATGTATGTTACGTTCTACGCAGGTTTCGGCGCCTTTTCCCCGAGTCTTCAGAGTTCAGAGGCACAGGGTTCCTTGTTCCTTCCTCACTTTTCTTTATCGTTTCCTGTCATCCCTAAAAACAACTTTCTTTCGTGTCCCTAAAGATGCTTTACTTCGCTAGAAATGCATGCATGTCATGTATGCCGATAACTGAATAAAGTGTAGAGGATTCCAAGTGGCTTTTTTTTCATAAGCTAGTACAAAGGAGTAGGGATATGCCTGTGCTTTTTACACCCTTTCCATGCCTTATCTTGAGTCAACAAAGGCGTAAGGACACTTGTGCCATGCCCAAGCTTATCTGAACGATCTTCTCACTATTGTCTCGTTTTATATAAAATCAATGATGCTGTTTGGCACGTGTAACCAGTAATTAACTTCGTCTAAAATCCTGTTCTGAAATACTGAAGTCTGAATTACAGTGTATTGGGCTGCATTGCTATTTGGGCTAAAGCCGGATTTACTTACAGTACAAATTTCCATTTCCACAAACCCGCAGGCGTGGTACTGATGGCATCAGAAAACTCTCCGTCAGAGTTCGCCAAGCTCGTTCAGTCTAAGCAGACGAGGCAAGCTCGCGTGTGCGGAGCGGACCCTGCGCTGCTGAGCTCCCTGGCAGGCATCGACGACGCAGAGGTGATGGTCACCATCCCCAACGAGCAGCTGGAGCACGTGGCCGAGTTCCAGGAGGAGGCCGACCTCTGGGTCGCCGCCAACATCGCGCGGTTCCTCCCGGCGACCAGGATCACGCACGTCGTGGCGGGCGACGACGTGCTGGTGGCAAGCTCCCCGGGCAGCAGCGCCTACTTCCTGGTCCCGGCGATGCGGAACCTCCGGTCCGCTCTCGCCGCCGCGGGCCTCGGCGACCGCGTCAAGGTGTCCAGCGCGCTGTCCAGCGAGGCGCTGTCGGACCCGGCGTGGTCGGGCGTCGTGGCCCACGTCCTGCGGTTCCTCGAGTCGTCGGGATCGCCGCTGTTCCTTAAGTCACGGCCGTCGGTGGCCAGCGACGCCAAGGTCGACGCCGCGTACGCCGCGATGCGCGCGCTGGGCGTCTCACGCATCCCCGTGATCGCGGCGGACCTCGCGGCCGGCGGCGGCGTGGCGGTGGTGCCGTACTACTACTACGGCTACGGTTACACGGGTGGTCAGCGGCGGTCGCTGGCGACGGGGACGTTCTGCGTGGCGCTGCAGAACGCTGACCCGGCGGCGCTGCAGGCCGGGCTCGACTGGGCGTGCGGGCCGGGCCACGCCGACTGCTCCGCCATCCAGCCCGGCGGCGCCTGCTACCAGCAGAACAACCTGCCGGCGCTCGCGTCCTACGCCTACAACGACTACTACCAAAAGATGGCCAGCACCGGCGCCACCTGCTCCTTCAACGACACCGCCACCACCACAACCAATGACCCAAGTATCTTTTCATTTCCTTTTTTACATCAAGAGATTGAGCAGTGTTCGTTAGCACTGATTAACGCCTTCGTGTGACTGCTCGTTTCAGGTTCAGGCTCTTGCGTTTTCGCTGGAAGGTGAGCACGGTTTATTTCAAACTCTGCAATTTCTGCACGCACCAGTTCTGTTATGTTCTGCCAACCACTCGGAACGCTTGCTAGACTGACAGTCTGACGTGATCTCGTTTTCTTGGCACGCGTTGCGGTTTCAGCTCCACGGCGGGAGGCTCCAACTCGAGCGTGCCGGTGGGCGCGAGCCCGCCGACCAGCCTCTCCCCTCCGACGGGCTTCACGCCTCCAGTCGGCTCCAGCCCCCCGTCGTCGTCGGAGTTCACCCCTCCGTCCGGCTTCACCCCGCCAGCTGGAGGTGGCTTTGGACCGGGCTTCGGCACCCCGCCGGGTTCCTTCAATGGCACCGGGTCGTTCGGGCCGACGCTCAACCCTTACAACGGCGTGCCGCGTGGGTTGTCGCGCGCCGGCTTGACGGCTCTGTCTGCCGCCGCGGTCGCCGTGCTTCTCGTGTCCATGGATGCGATGTGAATTACCGATGCAGATATCTGGATTACCTCTATTAGAGAGACTAGACATCCATCCCTTTGCGTGTCTATGTTCTTGATTATTGAGCTATTGGTCATGTAGATGTCAGTGTCAGATCAGATTTGTATTATGTACATAAGTCGTAAATATGAAGCGGATATCTGTATGTATGTGAGTTGGGACAGTCAGGGTGCCTTGGTTCTGATGAGATGAGCGCATGGATATATGTATGTATGACACGACACAAATCTTTAGTACAATGATGATGTTCATTTTTACAGGTTTGGAACCAGAAATGTAGGATGTAGCAGCCTGTTTTTCGTATCGATTGATCTGCCTGCCCGTGACAGTTCAAACTTCAATGTTCAAATTCAAGCCGTGTGTGCAGATGCGGCAGCATGATCTCCTTGTCCCTGCTGCCCTTCAAACCTGAGCCACCTCTTGGCCCTGCACAGCCTCATGGCGCCGTGGAATCCAACACCAAGCGCCGTGATATATTGTCGAAGGTGATATATTGTTATATAGCATAATAACCCCAATAATAGTAGCCTTTCAAAAAATAATAATAATAGTAGCCTAGAGGAGCAGTCATCATTATTACCTAACGTTATCTATCGCTTTTGTTCCATACCGCAGTCATATCATGCCTACGTCGACACGTCGTACTGTAGCACGTACCTGCAGCATCGGCCAAGTAGCCGTTGGTCCAGGCCTCCGGCGCCGCGTCCGTGGCCGCCATGAGCGGCAGCAGGTAGCTGGCAGCGATCAGCACCACCGCAACACCCAACGCGCGCTCCGGCCGCTCCACCTCGCCGGCCATCGTGCTGGCGCTGTCCCAGTAGTTGAGGTTCCAGAACACCGTGTTGAAGGAGAGCGGCCAGTCCCTGCTCCTGCCCTCCACCTGCACCGTCCACCGCCGCGGCCGCACCTTGGGCACCGCCATCCCCGTCATGAGCACGGACGGCGCGAGGGACACGAGCCCCAGCGCCACGGCGCCCCACCCGACGACGCTATGTCTTGTACTCTTTTTTCTTTGATGAGTTTTTCTGAAATTTCTCGTGTAAGATTTTTAACAAGAGAACAATGTGCAAATGCATTAGCGACAATAATGTATTTTTTCTCCATATTTTTCCCATTGGGTTTTTTTGGAGTTTTAACGAGACATGTATTTGTCATGGTATTTGTTCAAGGGGGAGTGTTAAGAATTCCTCAATTATAGGATTGATTGGCTAATACCATATATGCCTCGAAGGCTATATCTATATAAAGGGACTAGATGTATATGTGAATAGATGAATGAAGAGATGACTCCCTCCCACATATATTTGTCTCTTGTGTTCTTGTGGGTTGTTCTTGAGAATTAGGAAGGGAAACGGGTCTGCATCTACAACTTCTATACGCCTCTTTCATATGATTGGAGACGGGAAAACCAGCAATCCATGAACAAGTCGATTCTCAATAGGTTTTTCTTCTCCTTCTTTTTTTTTTTCTGAGAAACATCCTGCTTTGATTGGTTGTCTGGCCTAACCCCAGACCAGGCCCGTGTGGTGCACCTTGCCGCCGTTGTTTCTGGTCGGCAGATCTGCTTCCCGCAGCCTGGTTGGCTGGACGAACGCACGATTCATCCTGGGCCTGTCCCGACAGGAAAGCGAAAATCGGAGCGACCATTCCTCAAGTTGTAATGGAAATCCAATGGCTTGGTGAGCTTCTAGTTTCAGTTACAGTCCACCCGGGCCGATGCAAGCCGGAGGGACAAAGCCGGCCTAGCACGGGACACTCTGGGGGACATGTGATTGCATCACTCTTTTTTCTTTTTACCATACACATGCAGTCAATCTACATAGAGCTCACGAACTCTTCACATGAAAATAATGTACTACGGCATGAGAAGCGTTGCGTTGGATTTGGATACACCTGCTGACATGCATGCCTCGGAGACTGGGACTTCGGGGGGTGACAAGTGACAGTTCATTCATTCAAACTCGGTCTCCAGCAGAAACGACGGCATCCCCCTGGTGATCTTCAGCCGCGGCAACCACGCCGGTCTTGAACCTGAGCCACTTCCTGGACCTGCAAAGCCTCATGGCGCCATACAATCCAACGCCTAGCGCCGTGAGCACGCCGGCGAGCGCGAACACCCTCCACCCGGCCACGACGCACACGTACGCCAGGAACGCCGACGGCACGGCGCACATGGCCGCCAGCGCGGGCAGCGGGAGCGGCACGCGGTAGGGCCGCTTCAGGTCGGCCCGCGTGGCGCGCAGCCACAGGAACGCTGCGAACTCCAGCAGCGTGCCCAGGCTGTAGAGGAAGTTGGCCGTGGCCACGACGTCGTCGAAGCTGAGGAAGGAGACGGCGAGCGTCACCGCCGTGGAGGCGGCGATGGCCACCCACGGGGTGCCGGACAGGGTGGCGCGGCTCGCGAACACGGCCGGGAGCAGGCCCAGCTCCGCCATGCCCAGCAGCTGGAACGCGCCGCTGCTCAGCTGGGCCTCGAACATGCCCACGGACGACAGAACTGCCCCGGCCTCGATCCAGTACTTGAGCCATGGGCCTCCGATGATGCCTGCAACACGCGCACGCACCCAAGTTTCAGGCCTTGTGTATGATAGCGGGCCTACTACATGGGCCTCCGTCGCCGGTCATGCAACTCTTCATTTGCCGACATTTTCAGATTGATTGAAATAGCGGTCACAAGTCATATAACTGTTCATTGCGCTCTTTTTTCAAATGAGGCTCTGTATGGTTTTTGAGTGCTTTTCAGGAGAATCTCTATCATCTCCATATCTCAGTTAGAGCCAACAAATTGCATTGGTCCAATCCATAGTTGACAACAAACAAGAACTGAACATAAGGAATCATTTTTTTTTTGTTTCTAACGACCAAACAGGAGAGTATATACGAAGACTCTGATTGCACATACATATATGAGCACTTATCCTATATTTTGGATGCCTGATTTTTATTGTTCAGAGAACATGCAATTTTGTTATTGTTTGGCTATAGAAAAAAATTTATAAGTTGTCTCTTGTGAGTTGTTTCTTTTTAATTGTAATAGTTTATTGTGTAAGATTGTTGCTTAAAATTTTCAAAAAAATTAGGCACACAAAGTATATCAACTCCTCCAGTTTATACGTACCGGCAGCATCGGCCAGGTAGCCGTTCGCCCACGTGTCCGGCGGCGCGTCCGTGGCGCCGGTCGCTGCCATGAGCGGCAGCAGGTAGCTGGCAGCGATGAGCACGACTGCCACGGCCAGCGCCCGGGGAAACGTGCGCTCCGGCCGCTCCACCTCGCCGGCCATGGTGCTGGCGCTGTCCCAGTAGTTGAGGTTCCAGAAGAGCGTGTTGAAGAAGAGGCTCCAGTCCTTGCTCCCCTCCACCTGCACCGTCCACCGCCGCGGGCGCATCTTGGGCACGGCTATCCCGGTCATGAGCACGAACGGCGCCAGGGACACGAGCCCCAGCACGACGGCGCCCCACCCAACGATGCTCAGGCCGGTGTAGTTGACGAAGGACAGGAACAGGGTAATGCCGACCACCGTGCCCGTGCGCGTCCTGCCGCCCGTGCCGGCGGCCACGGCGGGGATGACGCGGCCCAGGTAGTCGGCGACGAGCGCCGGGTACGCGGCGATGTTGATGACGCAGCTGAGGTACTTCCACGTGCCGAGTAGCGAGCCGGCGAGCGGGCCGAAGGCGAGGTCGGCCCACCGGACGAAGCCGCCGTTGCCGGGGAGCGCGGCGGAGAGCTCGGCCGTGACGAGCGACTCCGGGACGCCCCACGCGAACGGGAATACCAGGAAGCCCAGGAGCGTGAACAGCGGGCCCGCCGCCTTCACCGCGAGCTCGGCACCGTACGCCCCGCCGGCGACCTCGAAGTAGATGAGGAAAACGAGCGGAAGGAACGTGAGCTTGTTGCTGTTGCTGCTCCCGCGGCGGTGACCGTGGGTGTCCGCCTCTCCGCCGACGCCTTGCACGGACGTGCCATCTTCTTCTTCTTGTTGACGTTGCAGGAGCGGCTCGATTGTTTGGTTCTGTTGGTCCATGGTGGGATTAATGTAAGCTGGGGGTCTAGACTTTAGAGAGTGGAGCAAGTGTGCCGTTCATCGTCTTGAGTCCATCGACGGCGCGGGGGTCCTCCAAGTAATCCAGCCATTTAGGAGTAGTATTAATAACTAGAAAGATTGGCGCGGCTTTGCCGCGCCCTCTATCGAGGATAGAGGGCCAGTACAGCGTGAAAAGGCGTAGCCTTATCCGTTACCACATCCAGAGAATGTCTAACTAAAGTATAGGGAATAAGAGAACAAATATAAGATCATCTAGATTAGCAATGATTGGGTAGATCTGGAGTAAAAATCTGGCTAGGCTTGATTATATAGATGGCCTGATCGTCAGCTCTTGCCTGCAAAATCAAACATTCAGATAAACATACACAATAGGAGTAAAAATATATGATAGAACATACATGCTCATGAGCTGAAATAGAAACTCCAATACCATCAGCCCCTGACGTAAACCTCACTACAGTGCCAAAAAATCATTTTAGATGTACATGAACAAAGCCAAATATGTAAGAAAAATTATCGGAGGTACATAAATTTGGTCAGTGTTAGGTAGTGCTCCACCAAAGCAGCAAACTCATTTGTAATTGGATCTTTCTGGACAACAGCAGACCACTGCGTCTAGGGCTCTAAACTTGTTTCAAATATAAAGATGCAACAACAATAGTGTTCAGTATTTTTTATATAATCGAGAAAAATACAACAGAAAAAATAGATAATATTGTGCCACAAATGAATGCACTGCTCAAAGTCATAGAAAAGTTACATTTTGCTTTACCAGAGAACTCTTGTAGTTTTTTTTCCTGCAGTGAACTATTACAGTCTTATAGTACAAATAAAATCTAAAACATGCAAAAAAATAGGTTGATCTTGAGATCACTTGAAAACTGATCTTGCTACAATATGGGTTATTTGACAAATCTCAAATACTTATTCTCCATTTTAGAGAGCTAATGCACCGCATAATGACAGTTCAAATATTCAGTGCGTTTCCTCTATACAAGATCAGAAAAGTAAAGTGTCAGAGAAATTTCCATTACCATCTAAAAACAAGGAATCAATCAATGGGCAATAGCAATGGAGTTTTAATCATGACAAAAGATCAAGTGATTACCACATATTGTGAGAAGTTCTCGAAAAAGTTGTTTAATCACCAACCTGTTCCCTTCTTATAGAACTTGTAACAATGGATCAAATGTAGGAGCAGCGGAACGAAATATCTCTTCCACAACAATTAAGACTATGGATAAGCTAAAACATCATAGTATCTACAATTTCAAATTATCAATTGTCTAGTAGAATAAGGCTCCTTAATTAGATTTGATTTTCTAGCCAAAAAAAAAAAACTTTCACAGCTCAGTTAGGATACAACCGTACACCAATGATGAAGTAGTTTGACTTGCTGTGCAAGAATCTGCAGTAAATACCGGTTAAAAAAAATATGCAGTAAGTATTTCTTCCATCGACATACAAGCACACAGCACAGGGGCATTTCATCGAACAGCTAGGAGGCGGGAGAGGCAAGACAGGCAGAGTTGAGAGAGACTGGGCAGGTATTATCCAGCTTCCTGAGTTGGCCACCCGTCTGCACGGAGCCTAGCTCTTGCCGTCGCCGCTGTCTCAGCACTGGTGTGGTGTCTCATCGACATCGGAAACGGTGTCCTGCGGGGAGGGCGCGTGGCCGCTGCTCGCGGGTGCTTGGAGACGGAGACACTCGTCTCAGCGTCCGTGGCTGTGAGCTCGAGCACTTGGAAGAGAGCCAGGGAGAAGCGGAGTGGGCGGGCGTGCGTGGCGCCGTCGCCGTCGTGCAGCTCGCTGGCAAGGCGGGGGGTGCAGCGGCAGAGGCTGGATGGCCGGTGCGGGGATGGATGGGCGAGGAACCTCC